AGAAAAATATAAGCGATCAAGACTAGGCTTGCTTGGAGTTATATACAAAGTTATTATTAGTCATCCTTATTGCTGTTTGGGAAGGGAGCCTGAAATTAAGAATGGAGGTATCAGTGGTTTCAGGTTTAACCTTTAAAATTCCACGAGGCTGAAAGGATTTAGCAAAAGGACACAGCACAGCTAGGATGGCAGCCTTGAGTGTATAACTTGCTTCTGAGGCCAGGGGGAAGCCAGCCCCTTGGCCTCTGCACTACCCACCCCAAATGCCTTGGCAGTTAGAACCAATGAATGTCTTTTTTTAAAAAAGCAATTTACAATTTAATGTATTTTAAACCAAAAAATCATTTTCTTATTAATATTTCTCTGATAATAATAAACACACTCGGGTTTTATGAACACTAATAATTGCAATTTCACTTGGGAGGAATCTCAACAGACAAAGTGCAAACAATATCAGCTAGTAAAATATTTGTAAACTCAGAGAAGATACATGTAAATTGTTTCTGGTTATATCTACAAAGAGCAGTATATGAGAGTACTTCAAAAAGATAGTGGTAAAAATAGAGTTGAAAGACGATACAAATCTTTCCATGAACGTTTTGAAGACCCCTTAAGGCAATATACGTAAGGTAACATAATGAATGTCTTTTGAACTGGAAGGTTGTTTACCTTTAGCTTGGATGTGGATTTGACTTCAGCCTCACTGGGATGTTGAGCCTGTGTAGCAGTCCGAGTGGCCATCTGTCCAAATTCCTATTTGTAAACCAATAATAGAGCCACAGAATAAGACTATCTCATGACCCTCCCCTCTGACCCTCTGATTAGGAATTCTTCCAGAAAGTGTACACAAGCTCTCACAGGTGTGTATTTTCAGGGGAAAGTTGTTGGAAGAGAGTGGAGAGAGGAGAATAGATAGTGTCCCCTCCGTCTTGTCATGTCTGAGGTGAGAGGGACACTTTGGGGTGCCAGAAGGCTGGGGTCAGAGGGAACATGGAATTCATTTTATAGGGAGTAACACGAGAACTGAGTTGGTTAACTGATCCCGTAACAGATCCCAAAGTGAGTTGTGACAAAACCAGGGCTAGGACCCAAGTTTTCTCCCTCCAAGTCTGATGCTTCTTTGTATGACAATGATTTGTGTATCATGCCTGTGAAGGGTAACAACCTATCAGTTCCGTTTCACCTCCCCTGTGCCACTTTTCCCATTGCCTTCTACGGTCCCAGTGGAGTTGTGGGCTCTTTCGTGTTGGTGGGTCCAGAGCCCATTGGCTGTCAGAAGCCTCCTCAGACTCCTTTCCTTCTCTCTGTCTTGACCCCTGATGTACCTTGCAGTTCTTTCTGCCCCTTTCAGAATCCCCCCTTCTCAAACTGTCTGGACATCCAAAACTTTCTTTGAGTTACATGCATATGGTTGGGTTTGTTAGTTCTGATTTTCTATTGGGTAAGTCAGTTAAACTCTCTGTGCCTCAGTTTCCTTTTTTTGAGGGAGAGAGAGAGGGTCTATTTTGTCTCTAGCAACCTGAAGCACACACAATGGTTTCTGATTTTCTATTGGGTAAGTCAGTTAAACTTTCTGTGCCTCAGTTTCCTTTTTTTTGAGGGAGAGAGAGAGGGTCTATTTTGTCTCTAGCAACCTGAAGCACACACAATGGGATGTTTTCCTCAGTTTGCTGGGACGTTGCCTTCCATGCAGCTGTTCCAAACTTTTTTATGGGTGGAGGGGTTGGAGTGAGATGGAGTTCGCTTCCCTAGCCAAAGTAAGAAACAAGTGACACTTCACAAAATAAAAAGGGAGAAAAAGATTTCATTTCCCATGAAATAAGGAGGAGGCAGAGGACAGATTGAAAAGATGAAGTAGAAGGTTTATTTAATGAAAGGATGTATTTTTTAGGGTAATTTTGAAAATGGGTCATTTGTTCTTTCCAAAGCATCTTTGCTCTGCTCTTTTATCTTTCTGCCTGCCTACCTACCTATGCACCATCCATCTATCCATCCACTGCACATGCTGGCATCTATTCCTCTGGCTGCAGGGAGGATGCATCTGGGAAGAGCAAATTACCTGGGGTATCCCCAGGGCCACCAGGCTTCAGTTTGTCCAGCTGCACGTCTGTGATGCTGAAATCCTTCTGGTCGGATGTCCAGCATGACCCCACCCCCTTGTGTCAGTGACCCCTTGCCCAGATGCAAGTGTGCTGGCTCAGCCTGAGGGATTGGTGGGGATATGTGAGGAAGTGATGTCTTTAAGGCAGGAGAACAGAGAGACAAAAATGGAGCAGCCTCCTGCCCTCCTGTGGAGGAAGCTTTAAAAGGTAGAGAAGTGTGCTGGCAGGAGGGCAGCTGTTTGGAGGGACAGTCCTAGGCCTTTGGATGTCTGGCCACAGTTGTGCTGTGGGAGATTTTTGATGAAGGCAAGCAAAGGGAGAATCCCATTCAGAGGCAAAGCTAGAGAACTAGAGAGAATGTCTCTGCCTGGGAAGCTGAAGGGAGTCTTCTCTCATGCCCTTACGGCTCCACCACTCCGTTCATCTTCCCCCAATCCTCCTTGCTCCCCACCCTCTCCTCAAGCTTGGAGACATAAAACAAACAAATAAACAAACAAACAAACAAACAAACAAACAAAC